TTCGTTTCACACAGAATCTTTTTGTTTCCGCCTCGAGATGATTCTCGACTGGCATTCACAGACACTTCTCACACGAACACGGGACGTTCAATCAGGTTGAAAAAACAAATATGGCGTCATGGGATTCTGAGCTTTGCGGTTCCGTTTCGCACACTCCGTTGCGACTATATGTGTATACTGTATAGATACTTAATAATGCAATTGAATTTTAATTAACAGTCGTTTCATCTGCTGGCCTGACTCTTCAAGCTTTGCCTCTGCTCGATATTTGTGTGTGCTCAAGTTATTCGCTCCGCTCGAGACTTGCGATCGCGACGGCGTCTCACTGTGGAATGAATTCAAACAACGTGAGCGGCGGTCTACGTGGTCTTTTTCTGCTAGACTTCGATGCGCTCTTCTCAAGTTGCTCAGCTGCGCTCCCTCAGGTACCTGTTGCTGCTCACCAGCTGGAAGGTGACATGCAGGTAGGCAGGGCACGAGCAGTGTGGATTGTGTTGTCTCTCTCGCTCTCTCGGCTGAATGTCTGAGCAACTATTATTGCTGAGAACCATTTCTTTGCAGAGCTCGGCTAGATTACCGGTTTTTCAGCTTTGCAGCAACGACATGAGTATGTCTTTTGTTTGTCTCGGAGCGGACTAGATCAGCCGGCTGGGTTCTCTGCAGATTATGAATATATATAAATTAATGGGGTTGGGCTGAAATTCTTGATAGGGAATTCAAAACTATGCTGGCTGTTCTAACTTCAAGCGCTTTGGGATAAATTCAATTTAATATTGTAAAAGAAATAAATAAATATAATTAACACCTTAAACATCTTTAAATTGAAATTAGATTCAGCTTGAAGATTAACATATATTTTAAAGACAGTTTTCGAGTAAATATAAGAAATTTTTCTACTACGATAAGAGGCTTGGGTGCATATATCCATATGATATATGTTATGACTTTCAGAATCAAAAAATTATATTACCGATTAAGCTTTAAGCTTCGTCAATTTGTTTGTGTCTCCGCTAAAAGCTTGCCGTGCAGTGCTTGCAAAAACGATTGTGTCGTTGATAGATCGCTGTACTTTTCTGCATTTGCAACACTGACATTACCATCATATTTTCAAAAAAAAATATTTACACACCTATCTAACGGGTTCCCTATGAACATTTTTGTTAATATTTAACTTTCATATAACCAATTTTTGTTTTTTTTTTTTCTTGTGTTATCCATCTTAAGCATAAGTTGCCAATAACTCGACTCATAAATACGTATTTACGACACGGTACGCTCTTTTGATATTGCATCAACTAATAAGAAAGATTTCATAATAATGAAAAACTATTACCTGAGTTTTTATCTTAATTGACTGAGAATTTATTGTTGTATATACTCGCATTTAACTAATAATCTTGTCTAATTTGATTATTGTCAGTTTCTGGGCTTATCACGATTAATAACATTTGTACTATGTCTGGAAAATTGTAAGTCCCGATATTTGTAGCTGTGTATGACGTGTTATGTTTTGCGGTTAGAATAGGTTGATATAATAGTTAATTAAATATTCTGGCGCTGGATTAAAATTGCCTTAAACAGATTTACGACTTTAGTGTAAGTATACAGCTATATGAAGTTCGTACATCCGCAATATTATTCATATATATGATTCATAATTCTACCCACATATTTATATGTGTACATACACATACGCATATCTCGTTCATCAAACTTTCGGGGATTTCAAAAAGCTAATTTGAATTGTACAAGTGCTGGATCTTTCATTAACCCAGAGATGACATACAAAACCCAAATAAAAAGAAGAAAAATGTGTACACTTTCTGGGGTTTTAGATTCGTGGGATTTCCGAAAAGAAGTTTGGGCAACCCGTGCAATTAGCCAGATCCCTGCTGCTTGGGCGTAGCCAAGCAAAGCTTTGATAGCAATTAGAACACTTTTAAGCCAGTTGAAAAAAATTACCCCATCTGGCGTACCTATCTACCTTTACTTCCCAACGCATCAGAGAGCGAAGCGACTGGGATTAAAAATGTGCGACAGACAGCGAGAACGGGAGAGTTAGAGTGAGACAGACTGGGCGGTCAATGGGGGGTTTCCTGGAATTTAATCGCTTGTCCGACGCTCACCAGCACCACATAAGGCCAATCTACTAAATCGGTGACATTGTGGGTAAAAACAAATCCACGTTCTAGTCTTGGCACCGGTCACACGTGCTGCATTGACGCTAGCAGCAAACCTGTTGGCCAGTTGAGAACAACATCACTTCAAAGCTGGGTAAATTATCATTAATGCATTTTAATAAGCAGCTAACCCAGCACGCGAGCTAAAGATACAAAAGCGCGCCACACGTCGGCGTGTGCCTCATTCACAGTTGAGCGCGCGAGCTGAGCTAAAGATCAAGAACCGAGATCGCACCGAGCTCTTAATTGCGGGAATTATCAAGAGACTTGGACAGGATGCAGCTTTTTATGGGCGTCTTGAGCCTAGTGCTATTGGCCGTGACAACGTTGGTCTCGACTCGTAAGTAGCTAGAATAGGCAACTGAATAGTTAAGTCATATGCGACTATAAAGCGTTTATTTCTATTATTTTTGTTTGATATCGGCTGCGCGCAACCAGTCAAACGAGTTATTTGTTAATCACTCAATTAATCGCATCGTAAATATAAACGTTTGTTTTCATTTTAGAGGGAGACAACAGTTGTTACACCCCCATCGGTGAATTTGGTTATTGTGTGCCAGCCCAACAATGCCAGTTTGTGCGGAATCTTCAGGCGACATATGGCCGGAATATTCCACGTTTGATACAGAATCAGCTAAGACAAATGGCCTGCAATATTGGCCAACGTACGGTAAGTGCAATCTACAACATAATTGCAAACTGGTCCAGCACTCAATAATCATTCGCCTTTCAGGTCTTTCATTTGTGCTGCCCCAGCGCTGCACTGATCACTCCTCAGAGCGATGGTAACAACAATCGGAATACGTTTTCGACGCGAAATTCCACAACAACTAACACCTCGCAAACCACACGCCAATCCACTGGCGATCTTAAGCGCATCGATCCGCGTGGCTTGGAGTTACTGAACTCTGTTACGGAGTGCGGCAAGAAGGCAAACACAAAGCTAAGCGGAGGAGAGCTGGCAAGACTCGGTGAATTCCCTTGGCTGGCGCTGCTTAAGTATGAGACGTCGGAACGACCTTTCCTTTGCGGCGGCAGCTTGATTACCGATCGCTTTGTTCTGACCGCGGCCCACTGTGTGACCAGGAACGAAAAGCTGTAAGTCCACGCTTATTATTCTGCCACGCACTTTTAACCAACTGCTTATATTTATTCTCGACAGCATTGGAGTGCGTTTGGGCGAGCATAATCTGGGCACCGAAAAGGATTGCGAATTTCTGGGCGGTCGCATTGAGCACTGCCTGCCACCCTACGATGAGTATGGATTAGAAGATGTACGCCCGCATCCCAACTATAAGTCCATCAACAATGATATAGCCCTCATCAAACTTGATCGGCCCGTTCAGTTTAAAGGTCACATTATGCCCATCTGCCTGCCCATCGATCGTACATCCCAGGATATATCTTATGACCAGAGCTTCTTTATCTCTGGCTGGGGTCGCACCGAGAATAACGAACCATCCTCCGTGCTGCTCAAGGCGGTGGTAAGGCGACAGAATCATAATGTTTGCCGCAATTTCTATGCTGATGCTCACCTCAATGAGAATCACATTTGCGCTGTTGGAGAAAACATTGTGCATACCTGCCCTGGTGACTCGGGTGGTCCTCTCTTCTTCCGCAATCCTTTCAAGAATACGACACGATTCATCCAGTACGGCATTGTCTCCTATGGTGGAAAACGTTGTGGCCAGCGACAGAATCAGCCGGGCGTATTCGCGTCGGTCTTGGACATGTTACCCTGGATTACCCAAAATCAATATTGAAGACCCCAATCTGACTTATGTGTTTGCAACTTATTCTCATTATTATTTATGTCTTAGTTTAGTTCTCAATGCCATTGCAATAGTCGCAATTCAAGATTGTTGACTTTAGTTTGTAATCTTGTAAAATATATAATATATGCAGATTGAAAATCAATTCTTTTGATGGCTATTATCATTTTTGGGGTGAGGTGAGTGGCCCAGATAGACTTAGGAAAAGCTTTAAAACAAGAAGTATATATGCACAAGCCTGCAGTCTTCCCAACATATGCGTTAAATCGGGAAAGATACAAATGCAGCAAGTGCAGTAGATATACAAGCTAACTGTGGGCTGAGACAATAGTTTCTTAAATATGTGAAATAACATCGCAACATAACTACGATATAGATCCTTCTAAAGAAAGAGAAGAACACCTTTGATATAAAAAATAAGAACAGGCGAATCTGTATCCAGGCCGTATTTATGATATATAATATATTAGTTAGATATCTAAACTCAGTTTCAATACACTTTTAACTTAAGTAGAAATTATAACTTTATCGGACTTCTCGTTGGAGATGATTAGACCCAACTTGGTGATTAGCTGGTATCCAGCATCAAAGTATCTTGGCGATGCAATTACTGTATATTTTTAGTATAGTCGCTAGGTAAGTACATATAAATATTCATAAGAGACCATACCTCACGGCCTGCTCTTGCTAATATCAATTTGACGTCATGATTCACTGTTGATCAGCTGAATGTATCATTATCGGAATTGCTAGATTCAACTATGAGTTATGAGAAGTTTGATTCACTATAAGTTCTACTGAAATTCAGTACGATTTTCATTGACAATACGATTTTCAGATCATTTGGAAAATAAGTTCGTCCGCTTAATCAGCCAACAATAAGTGTTTCTAAGATATAGTTAATTCTCAGAAACAATACATATTCAATCAATGCCTTGACTAATTTGGAGCTAAGTCCTGATCTTTACAATTATAAAATCCAGTTTAGAATTGTAATTTATACATTCGCATTTTAGCCCTAAAAGGTAGGAAGAAGAAAGACTATTTATTGTGGTACTATCGTAAACTTTAATGATTCATATCGTTGGTAATACCCCTCAGCTCACCTTGGAAGTGTGTTTGCCCTCTTTAATAACTTCCAACTTTGACATTTCTATGTGAAATTTCATTCTGATTCAGATTTGATTTTATTGTGGTGAATCATCCGAATAAATGCTTTGGAATGCTTTAATTAACGTCTTTTATTGTTCGCGGCTATAGTCGCACCCAGTCTCTAAGCCATGCAAATATAAGGTTTAGTAATTTTTTAATCGCATTTTAATTGAATGCGAGAAAACTCAGACGCTTACATTATTGGTCGTCTATCACAAGGGGAACTCCGGTAGCACATCGTGTCAGAAAATAATCTTTATTTCCATAGGACTCAATTGCAGTCCATAAAAGAAATAACAAACGAAGAAACTAAAAAAAAATAGAAATTACACACACATTTTGTATCTATTAAACAGTCAAAAGAAACTATTAATCCAATTCTGGCAGCACTGAATCAAAACTGGAAAAAATATACACTGTTAGGTTACGAGCTTCTAGTTGAATTTGGAACAATGCGTAGATGTTATCTGAAAAAAACGCTTCCTTTGTGTTGCGTTGTGTAGTCAACCACCAAAAAAAAAAAAAAATTCCCGCAATAAGCGGCATGTGCCGCATACAAGTTTTGCCTTTGGTAGCGAACGTTTCACAGACAATGAACTGGATTCTTTATTTGTCGCTGGCACTGAAAGGGTAAATGACAATATAGGACTATCTATTATATAATATAGTATTACCCATTTACGAAATAGGTCACTCTATTTGGCGACATTTTATAACACGTTGCCGTTTATAGGGTCCGTATCCAGGTCGCTGATTGAGAGTTACTTTTCCTCATCTGTTTCCTTTAACTTGGATACCATTTAGTAAGTTTTTTACTAGGATCTGTATTAGAACCAAACTCATTCCAAATTACAGCCTCAATTGGAACACTTCATTTCCAGCCATAACTGTTTGCGAGCTATACAACTCGGAAAAGATTTGGGATCTGAGCGACACTTACTTTGGCATGGAGCACGACATGCACATCGATGACTTCGTCAGCGAGATCGCATTCTTCAGGGGCATCTGCATCAGCTGCGAGAACTGTCATCAGTTGTACTGTCCGGACAACTTTACACTGTTGCTAGATGTGGTAGATTACGAGTTCTTCAAGCTTTCTTAATTAATCTAACTATATATATTTGTAGTTTCGGACCAAATGCCATGAGCTTATTGTGGAGTGCCGCTACCTCAACCAGATCTTCGAGTGCTGCGATCAATTTCTACCCATATTCACAGAGTATGGGGTCTGTTTCTCCTTCAACTCGCACCAGGCGCGTAAAGTAGCGCAGGTGCAGTATAAAAATAATCGTATGACCGGAGCTGGGCATCTTAAATTTCTTGCAACCGCCGACATTCAGGTGCATGTCCATGCGCCCATCGACGTGCCCTTTCACTTCTCCGAGGGCATGATACGCGAGACTGTGCTGTTGGGAAACAACAAGGAGCTCATATTGAACGTCATCGAAGTATACAATCACGAAAATGTTGAGGAGCTGAGCCATGAGCAGCGACGATGTCGTTATAGTCACGAACATGTTGAGCAACGTATAGGAATTTACGAGTTCTACAGCTACTCCGGCTGCATAGTGGAGTGCACCGTGGCGCTGCATTTGCTGTACTGCAATTGTACCAGCCACTTTATGGCTGTGCCGAGCAAGAATTCGCTGCCGATGTGTGACTTTCGGGGCTTAATCTGTTTGACGCACATCCATGAAAGGCTGGTCGCAGAACGCAAGTCCTGTGATTGTATGAGCTCCTGCGAGGAGCCCGAGTATAACATAATCTACAATACAGCAGATGAGTATGTGGCGAAAGGTATCCAAAAAGTTTGATATGATAATGAATATGTATGTTACTTGCAGCAAGCAGGATGCAGAAAAGGATGTCTCCGATATACATGTGGCACTGGTGGAGTTACCCACACAGCGCTATGTCCGCCGCGTGGCCAAAACCCCTCTGGACTTATTGAGTAAGTAGCCAAACTAAGCGTATCCTCATTTTAATGTCAACCTCTTCATTTCAGTTTCTTTCGGAGGCTTGATTAGTCTGTTCTTCAATGTATCGGCAGTGCGCGTTGTTGAGGCCATATTTATGTGCTTGGAGTACAGAAAAGAAGTCTACAAATGGGCAAATAGAATCTACATTGGCACGTTCAAATATTTACAGATTTTGATAAGGTTAAAGTAAATCACAAAATGTTTTCATTAAATTCTAGTTTTCTACCAATTGGGCAAGTACTATGTGCATATATCTAAATCGTGGTTGCAAGTGTTTTAGAGAGTTTTTGTGTCCTTAAATGCTGCTGATTCTTTGCGGCACATATACCATATCCGGCACTTTGCTGGTTCCACTTGTTGGGGTTATTACATCGAGCAGCGTGTCCATATAGCTGGGCAAGTAGACGCAGCTTGAGAATATCAAGAGTACAAACATCAGCAAGACGAATCCATCTGCGTACAAATGAGCAATGTTATTGGTATGCTCCTGATCGTCTTGTCGTTACTTACTAATCAACTTCTTCTCCCAGGGCTCAAACATATTAATGCATGTAACAAGCTCGTATTGTCGATACAAATTTGCAGCAAAATGTTTTAAATTCCACATCTTTTTTGTGTTTTGTTGCTCGATTCAGGATTTTGTTGCTTGAATCACACGACTTATCCACTTACTCCTTTCAAGTTTACCCAATAAACTGTCGCAGAATGTTTAATTCTACTTCATTCAGTTGTATGTTCTGATATTTTATTGTTATTAATTATTTCACAAAAACTTCTAACAGCTGTTTGCAGTGTGACCATATCAAAATTATTAGTGCTCACTCAAGTGTTGAACAGCGTTACTCGAATTTCATACCAACGAGCTTTTGTGAGCATTGAGTAGTTGCTACTTTGGCGCCATTGAATCAAAAATGTATATTTTTTCAAAAAATCCCTTCGAAACTATATATGTAATGAACTGTGTAGATGTGCAAACAAGTAGAAGCAAGTAAGTAAGTAGTAAGTAAGTAGAAATAAATATCATGCAAATATATTAAATCAAGTGAACAACATACTTTTCGACCATACAAAATTCATTCAGCCAATCCGCTCGTGTCTTAGCCTAAAACGACCAACACTTTATTTTTACCCAGTTAAAGATAAGGCCAAATTAATGCACTTCATTGCACCTGGACCAGTACAAACGAAAATAAAATATGTAAAATTGAAGGGGAAATAAACATTTTGGGTTAATACCATTAATTAGATGTTGCTATCATTAAGAGTGTCCAACTAGAGTGAAATTTGCTGCAATTTTAGGTGACCCAAAACAACAAAGCAATGATTCATTCACTGGATTCTAAAGTTTAGACCATTTGCCTGTTGAATAAATTTAACTCTGAACGAGAGTTTGGAGCGTCTTCACATGCTGAGGACTGATTTAAGGCAAAAAAAAAGAACAACAAAAACAGGATTTAAGTCCATTGCGCCATAATTTGCAATGGGAAACTGGCACACTGCCGCATGTGGCCAGCTGTGTTGGTCGAGCACTTGCCAAGAGCAACGTTGGCCATGACGACGACGAGGCTATCAATGCTGCCGTTGCGGATTGACAGGCGAGCAGTGGCTTGATTTATGCGCGCGGCAGAGGAATGTGGCAAAGTGTAAAAAATGTTTACACACATACACACACACGTTTGTGTACAGCGACACCCAGTCTCAATCTGTGTCTAAGTCGAGTCCAGACCAGGCCGGACCAGACCGGACCAGGGCAGACCCGATTGGAGCCGAGTCACGCATATGCAGCGACAACTAATTCAATTTCCACTTGCCGAGGAGCCAAGTGGCGAACATGGCGGCTGTTTAGCCAAGTGTGCACGCCTAATTGGTAATGCGATCGGCTTTATTGAGGCGCAGTTGCAGGCGCAGGCGCTGTAACTGAAGCTTTAGCCATAGCTGAAGCTGTTGCTGAAACAGTCGCAGTCGCAGGCTATCGCTGTCGCTCAGCGTAAATCCCATTACGTGCAATCCGTTTCGAGCCATAAACATGTTGCTGCAGCTGCAAGCACCACTAGCACCAGAGCACCAGCAACGCCGACACCGCCACCACCACCGCCACCTGCTTTGGCCCGCCGCTATCCTGGCTTCCAGCAGCGCAACTTGTCGCTTGAACTTAATTGCCTTGGCTGCGCTTATGACTTTCGTGTGCAATGCATCCACATCCACATCCATATCCACAACCCCTGCCACATTCACATCAGCCCATCGCCTTTGCTGTTGTTGCTGTTATTGTTGTTGCTGTTGTCTTCGCTGCATTATTAGAAAGTAACTTGCAAAAAGCTATCAGCATCAGCCTCGTATCGTCGTCGTCGTCATCATCATCCTTGTGCTTGCCTGTTGGCCTGTTGTTGGCGCTATTTTCGACACCGCTTTGGCCTGCCATAAATTGCCAAATGCCAGCGTCACGGGCCCTGAAATGCACTCGACGCGCTCTCAGCCGCAAAATTAGAAAAAGTCGGTTGGCTAATTTAGTGAGCTGCTTCACAGTAACCAACTAACATCCCGCCTGCCCGCTTGCCTTCTCGAAAGTCCATTTTCCATTTCGTACGGTTTTCAATTAAAGCAACTGAAGCAACATGCGGCTGCCACGACCTCGCGCGCCCAAAGTTCAGGCCAAAGCCTGAGCCTGAACCTGAACCGGAGCCTGTGCTTCTGCCTGTGCCTGTGCCTTTACCTGCGCCGAGCAACTAATTCCTCAACACCGAAGCGACGATGACAGCGACCGATAGCGAGTCCCGGGAATGAATTGCAGTTGCCCAGAGATAATCTAATTTTTGGGTGCCAAACGAACTCGCAGTTTGCATTATTGTTCTGAGAAATTGTTATTAATTGAGTTGTATTGTTGGTTTTGTGCAGAAAGTGAACAGGAGGTGGGGATCCATTGGCCAAGCCAGTGGGTGGTCCATGGCCTGACAAATATTGACCGCTGCTCATTTGCCCAATTTAATTCAGTTTGGCCATCAATAAGCCAACTGCCTCGCCTCCGGCGCGCCGAAGATCGCGCCATTTGGCCCCATTGGCTCATTTGCATACGGTTAATTTATGCTCATCAATTAGCTGATTAATTTATTTGGCGTGAGACGTTCAGCCAGTTGCTGCTGGCGAAGCGAGCGAGGCTCAAGCTTGGACTTAAAACGCTTGTCTAATTAGATAAATGCGCTACATTAATGTCCCGTCTGACATTTATAAAGCGTTGCCTCTGACCGATGGGCTATATTTTAAGAGCATTTCGATTAATTACTGGGGAAATTTCGCAGTAAGTTTAACTATTGAAAACGTGGCATAAGCCTGTTTAAGTTATTATATTATCTACATCTGGCTCTTTCCAGCAAACAGATCAATGTGTGTCAATCAATTCCCACCCAAATTAGCTTTTAATACTGTTTATAAATGCCACCTGTCCAACAACACGGACATGGCTCGATCTCAATCCGGCTCCTTGCACGACCACTTAGGCGCTTTTGTCTGCCAGCGAGGGAAATGGAAAATATTTTAATTAAAATACAACTAAACGTTTACTGTAAGCGATGTTATCCGTTTCGCTAGAGAGTTTCAACTCTAGCTACCGGCTGCGTGTCTGGCGCTAGGCGAGTGCAACAAATGCTGCAATTGTTGCATGCAACAACATCAACATGTGTCGCACATCGCCTATTTGAATATATATCAAATCAGTTTAAGATAATTTTCTATAACAGCTACTCGCAACACAGCAAATAGCGCACATTTGTACATTGGCAAGTTTGTTGCCTAAGTCTTTCGTTTCGCCCGTCGCCCGTCGACTGGCTGCCCGGCTGACTGGCTGGCTGGTTGGCTGGTTGGCTGGCAGCCTGGCTGGCTGGCAGTGCATATTTTACGCGCTGCATTGTTGCAAACGTTTCGAGGCTCGAAATTAAGTTGTTTTGCATAAAAGCGCCATAAAAAGTCGCATGGTTAACGCACGGCCGAAGCAGCCGAAGGAGGCAGCTACAATTGTGATTAGAACGACACGACAGGCACGACATGAGCGCAGGGCACAGACAGCGCAGACACCAGCAGACAAGACATATGACGCTGTTGCTCCATACGAATATGGACAACAATTGCCCCAGCAACAACGACAGCGACGAAAATTGCCAAGTCAACACGAGCGACGTATGTCAACAAATGGCACTGCCATTAGCGGCCAATCCGGCCGAAGGCTACATGAGATTTTGGCTTCCTGTAGCTGGTAGGCAAATGCTAGGACAGCAATTCGGGCTGCCGATCGCCAGCAGCCTCAGCGGCAGCGGCAGCCGCTTGTTGGAACTATTATCAATTTAAGTTGGCTAATTGGTTTCAAATTTATGGACCTGTATTTGATATTTATGTCGTCTGCTGAGAGCGAACGGCCAAGGCAGCGCCAACCGTCTCTGTCTCTCTCTTTCCCTCTGCCTCTGCCTCTGCTTCTACCTCTGCCTGTGGCTGCAATTTTGCCAGTTCGCCTTGCCATTGCCGTGGCATGCTGCAAACAACGTAATTGGCTTTCAATTTGCAGCAAATTGTTGCAACAGCCACGACAACATCGAAAAGCAGCGCACAGCGCTATAGCGAAACATATTTAGATTATAGACGGATAAAGTTTATGTATGTTCTGTTCTGGACCAGACAAGTTTTGCCGCAGCCTGGGTGCTTGCTGACTGGGGTGGACGTTTGCTTTTGCCATCCGCTTCTTCCATAATTCCAATGAGTTATATGCCCATCATGTGCACTCGGGACCCTTCAAACGTTCAAAACGTAGTGCGCGTTAATTAAAAAACCAACAACAACCAGCCAGCAAGTTGCAACAAAAGCGCCAAAAATGCTGCTAAATTTTCGCTTCTTCAACCAAAAAGGGCGACCGCCTTGTCGCTGTTAGCTGTTCTGGGCCAGGGCTTAGCCGTTCAATAACTAAATAAAACACTCAGTCCGCAACTCGAAAAGCCGCCGCGTCGATCGTCGCGTCGCGACAGCCACAATCAAGCGAAAATTCCAGGCATTTTCTGCTTCATTAACAACGCACAACGCGGCCATTTCGTTTTGTTCGAAATTTACGCACACATACAGACTCACACACAGATATGCACATACTCGTATGTACACACAAGACAGGCAGTTCCTCTGCAGCTCTCAAGGTACGAAATGGCCCACGTTTTCGACTCGTTCAGCTCAATTGAGCTTAGTTTTGTTTTCGGCTTTTTGGTATTTTAATTAGAAACCAAACAACGCAAAATGCATTGCTCTTTGGCCATTTCGCTTTCTTTGGCTCCTTTTGGCCAGTCACTCTGCTTGCTTAGCTCCACGCTGTCTTGTCCTGTCCTGTCCTGTAGTTCCAACTCGCATTTTGTTTTCACATTCAATTAGCGCATATTTCAAATGCGGTCGCTGCAAACGCGACTGCGAATATTTCAGTAATGCCAGGCAAAACGCACAGGAAATGGCATCGATAAGAATACATATAAAATGAATTATATCTGCAATAAAAAAAAAAACATATTTTCAAATATTCCTACTAATATTAATGTGTCAAAATATAAATTAGAAAATGAGAAATTTAAAAATTAAAAAATTTAAAAACAAAGTACTTTCTACGCAACAAAACTATTTATAAGCTACAAGCAACAGCTTGAATATATATACTCACTCCATTCTAATCTTAGTACACCTGTTATTATAAAAAAAAATGCACCATTTTATGGTAAGTTTCTCATATATTTTGTACACATGCCCAGTTGTAAGTCGATGTCAATTATGTTTTATCATTATTGTTGATATTGCTTTATTGCTGCTAGATCAAAAGTAACTGCTTACAGAGTGCATTGGCGCTATAGTAAAATAATAAATAAATATATACTATATATAATACATACAGTATGTGAATAACTTAAGAATATACACATTATTTATTGCGAACGTTATATAAACCATTTGTTGTTGATGCTGCTGCTGTTGTTGTTGCTGTTGTTAGGTCTAACTTGTTGCGGCTTAAGTTTAGACAAAATACAATAACGGTAACTACAATTTTACAATTATTTACAACTTAAGAGCTATGTCCATTTATGTAGTTGCTAACTATGCCTAACTATGTGGCTCTATGCCACCGGACCCTAGAGCTATGCTATGTACAGGCTTGTGCTTGGCCAAAAACTGGATAAACTATATACGAGTATATGCGCGTCTGGGTTATACTAAATATCACACTGTGTAGGATGTTGCTTAGCGTTGAAGAGAAGAATTTGAAATTACACTAACAGAGAATGCAACACAAAATGCTAACTACGCAGCCAAACTAACTAACTAACTTACACACTAACTAACTATGCAAGTAGCTAACTAACTAACTAACCTTAGGCTAATTTACACTACTAATGCACTTGGAAATCGCGCCCGTGCTGTGGCAATGGCTGGCTGCACATCAAGCGGAAATGCCAGGCTGAATGCCAGGAACTTTAAGCGGAAATGAGCCTAGGGCCTTGGGCCTGTGGGCTTTGTTTGCTGAGATCGCTAGCCCTAGACCACAACAGTGGCTAGCACATCGCCGCTTTCATCGCTGGCCTGTGGCGGCAGCGATTTGCAGTTTATCGAACGTTTGCCAAAGTCCTTGCGTGGACTCTCCAGCGAGCCGACCGTATTCTTTTTCATGTCTGAATTCTGTGTCTTGTGCAGCAGTATTTGTGAGCTGCGCTTGTGCGCCTGCTTCAGTCCGGTGCTCGCGTCCAGCTCCCGCTCAAAGTCGCAGGGTGGAAACAGCGGCTGCGAGCGATGCAGCGCTGAGCTGCTGGCCGCTGATGCCGCTAGCTCGGGCGCCGGATTTAGGCTGAGCTCCATGCCGGTGCCAGCGCGCAGCGAACTGGTGCTGCCTTTAAGGGGATTCGTATAACGCCGCAGATTCTCTTCGTTCTGCAAATTATTGGATTTCTCCTCCTCGTGGCGCAGCGCGTCAAGTGGCGGCGTCAGATTCATGCCCGAGCTGCTGCGATACGCCAGACGCTGTTTCCAGTAAAGGCTAATGAATACGGAGAAGCCCACCAGGACAATAAAGATGCCGCACAGCACGCCAATAAGCAGACTGTGGCTGTTGCCATCAGCCACGCGCGCCGTCTCCAGCTTGACTTCCAGTATGGAGGTGAGTGCCGCCAGCTTCGCGTGCTGCAGCTGCAGCTCATTGCGCCGCTGTATACCATTCAGTTGACGCGAGCTGAGCAGCTCACCCAGCAAGGACACCGCCACGGGCAGCTGCTGATCGTTCAGCTTGCTGGAGGACTAAAAGATTGGGGGTTGATATCGATTACAGAGCTGTTGCTGCAGTGCTGCTGCTTGTCACTTACCACAGTCAGCTCGATGGTGTCATTGGTGCCTGTCTTCAGATCGCACAGAACCATAAGCATGCCCTCCTCCTGCGCTGGGCTGGTCTGAGGGGTCAGCGGCTGCTTGATCAGACGCGCCGCCAGGAGCACTCGCACTAAGGAACACAGGCCCTCCACGGTGGCGCCCTTACCCACGCGCTCCAAGTCCAGTAGTATGGTGAGCCGCGCGCAATTCTCGTTAACCAGCGCCTGGTTGGGCCAGCAACTAGCTTTGGCAGGCAAACGTGGCGGTGCCACGCGCCGCGAAGGTTCCAAGGCGCGACAGTCACCACGCACGCTACAAGGCGGCGACAGACAGGTTTCACCCAGGGCCGGCACACATACCTCATGCTGCTTACAGACGCCCGAAAGATTCGAGGATTTGGACAGTGGATCCAGTTTGAAGCAATTGGCCAATCCGCACCAGAGATTCGTGCAACGCGAGGTGGCATTCTCACAGACGCAAGCATTACAATGCTCGTCCTCATCACTGCGTCCGGTCAAGGCAATGTCCAGCCAATTCTGGCTCTGATTGAGCGCCGCATATGGTGATATGGTATTGGTGGCATTCAAGCAAGCTGACTTGGGATCGGAGAGCACTGTGGGCGCGGAAGCGCGAGGAGAGTTAGTCCACCAACTGGTAAGATATTTCACTAAAAAGACTCACATATTTCGCAACGTAGTCCATGCCGACCTGGTGGACAGATGCATGTGTAGCCGCCAATGCCATCGATGCAGGTGGCGCCACCCTGGCAGGGCTGTGGTGAGCACTCGTTCACATTAATACGGCAATCGGGCCCCGAGAAGCCTTGGGCGCACAAGCAGCGAAACCAGCCAGCGCCCGACTCGCAGGTGCCGCCATTATGACAGGGCTGGCCGCGGCACTGGTCGATGGCCTCCGCGCAGAATAGGCCCGTCCAGCCGGGCGCACAGCGGCAGTGCGGCTGCAGAGCCTTGTCCGGAGCGCCTGGCATGCAGGTGCCGCCATTTTGGCACTGGCCCGCATAGCAAACAGTGGCGCGTTCCGAGCAGCGTTTTCCTGTTGTCGTTCATGTTTGAGAAATATTAGAGCAAAACAAAAGACTTAGGCAACGAACTTGACAAACAAAAAATGCGATAGGATGTAGATCAGCCATGGCCAATTCAAGGCTTCAGCTAATTGAAAATTGAAAAGTAAAAGTGCGCTGACATAGATCGATGTAGCCGTAGCTGTTTCTATCAATATATCTGTATCTGTAACCATGTATCTGTATCTTAAGCTATGTGACTGTGACAAAAAAGCGAAACGCGTGAAATATGCAAATCGCACTTCGAAAACAAACATAAATCATGCAAAAACTTTGTGCGTTGCCCGGGTGGATGTAACACATCAAAGTACGGCTATGCCCCACAGCTGTGCCACATGTGGCAAAGTGAGACCAATGCGCAGATTATTGCCGCTCACAGTTTGCCGCATTCGCCACAAATTGAAGCTGTAATGACTGCCGACTTTCAATGTTCAAATAAATGCGACCGACAATTCGAGTATTTGTGTGTGTGTGTGTGTGTGTGTGTGTGTGTGTGTGTAGGTAGCTCACTTAACGTGCTCAACTCTCGTCTCGCGCTCATTTAAAGCTCCCAAAGCGTTGATAATGCGCCAGTCAGACAGTCAGCTTATATCAGGTTTGTATACACTAACAAAAAGCGTTTTTACTATATGAAACAGTTGGAAACAAGCAGCTGAATGCTCGTGCTAATAGAATGAATTGAAAACATTGTTTATAATGAATTGGATTGAATAAAAAAAATATATATATACATACATATATTATTTTCTAGCTATCTATACACCACAAAAAAGAAACTACCCTTTGGCTCAGTTCGTGAACCAAGTTTTCCAAGTTAACCAGAAAGTTATTTATGATTTGTGACACAGAAAAAGGTTTGGTTAACATTTCGGTTCAGCTGTTTCTTGAACATCTGGTGTGGTTCAAGATTCGGTTCATAATACAAAATGTATTGGAGTTTCGGGTTCGATTCGTTTCGGTTTCGGCCGGCTTTCCGCTTGCTTTATTCCTAAGCCCCAATTCTTATTAAGAATCTTTCAAGGACAGTGTATTCAGGATTCGCTATGCTCAGCTATAATTTGGCTGCACTTGTTGCGCCCGGGTTTTGACGTTCACTTAAGCAGCGGCTGCACTGCAGCGACTCACCTGTCCAGCCCGACATGCACTCGCATGTAAAGTCGCCGTCACCGTCAAGGCAAATTCCACCGTTTCGACAAGGATTCGGCGAGCATTCGTTGAGATCTGCAGAAAGTTAATGAGTTTGCTGTTTCTGTTTCGGTGTCTGTGTATATGTTTGTGTGTGTATATATATGTGTGGCTTAGTGTGTGTGTGTGTGTGTGTGTGTGTATGTGTATGTGTGTGCGTGTCTGTGTGTATGTGCATGTTGCTGCCGCTGTGGATTACTCACTGTGCTCGCAGAAGGTGCCGGTGTGGCCCACATGACATTTGCAGAAGGTGCCCACGTCGCTCATCTCGCAGCTGCCATGTCCGCTGCAGGGCTGGCCGCCTGCCGTTGTCGTCGACGTCGTCGGCTTGGCTGTCGCGCTGACATTAGCAAAGCAGCCCTCTGTGGTTGATAGACAGGAGTGGATTAGGCTTAAGTTTTCTTTGGAGTTCCGTTCTATTAGCTACTCACCATTGCAAGGTGGTTGTGAGCAGAGCGGACGCAGCTGCTCGCAGTGCTTGCCCGCGCGATCCGGTGGACAGTGGCAATAGTAGCTGCCGGGCGTGTTGAGGCAGCGTCCTTGCAGGCACGGTGAGGGCGTGCAATGATCCTTGGCCTCCTCGCACAGGGTGCCCGAATAGCCCAGCGGGCATATGCAGTTAAATTTACCCACCATGTCCACGCACTCGCCCCCGTTGCGGCAGGGCGAGTTGGCGCACTCATCGATATCCGTTTCACAGTCGCGTCCCGTGTATCCAGCGGAGCAGGCGCAACGGTAGTCGTTGACCAAATCAATGCAACTGGCGCCATTCTTGCACTGGCCCACACAATCATCCAGATTCTCCGCACAGGTGGCGCCACCCCAGCCCTCCAGACAGAGGCACGAGAACGATCCGGGCAGATTAAGGCATTCGCGCGCATTGATGCAGGGCCCATGCGTGGCAGCCGAGCTCGAGGCGGCCACGGCGCTGGTCAAAGCCGCCAGCAATGCGGCCGAGCTACTCAGATTGCTGGCAATAATGGCACTGGCCGTGGTGGTCAGCAGCGTATTGGCGGGCAAAGCGGCCGCATAGGATGCCTCGCATTCGTTCACATCCACCTGGCAGACATCACCGCGCCACTCGGGCGGACATTCGCAGCGAAAGCCGCCGATTAGATCGACACAAGTGCCACCATGCTCGCAGGGACCTCCAGCGCACTCGTCGATATCTGTAACAGAAGCGAGAAAGAGAGAGAGCGAGAGAAAAAGAGACAGAAAGAAAGAGAGAGAGTCAACGATTGGTTAAGTGGCATTCGAGGCTCAAGTGCAAATGTGTTGATTTTGTTGTTCAGCCCGCTCAACTTGATGCGATCCAGGCCCTTGTCAAGCAGGTGGCTTAAACGCTGCCCAAGTCATTGAACTGCGGCCAAAGGGGCCAAAGCTGACGTGCGGATTGGTAGCTGCGTGCATTGCTTATCGTTTGCCTGAAATCGCTGGCCACCACTCGACAGAGACGCTGCCTCTGCTGCACGCAACTCATTTGTTTGTTTGCTGATAAATAAAACCCGATAAGGACTCCCAAAAAATTTTGCTTTGACCCTTGGTCGGCCAAAGGTCGGCAAGTTCCCTACGACAGCATTTTGATGGTCTTTCTTTATGGCTATTTCAATATTTTAGCATAATTTTGCTTTAACTATCTCACAAAATGGTTGGTCAGCAAGTTCGTTGCCTAAGTCTTTTGATTTTAAAGCGCCAACTTAATTAGCTTATGGCTTATTGCACTGACTGAAATGGTTTGAAATGGTTAAATTGGTTGAAATGGTGAATGTGTGCTTCGGTCGTGCTCCAATTGGAATGCAAAATCAAATTTGCCAGACCACCGTGGCAACAACAACTACAGCAATCCAAACACTGCCTCAACTCAGGCACTGCGTGCGTGCTACGTTTCATTTCATTTCGCTACAGTCAAATGCGTGTGTGCTCAATTGCATGATCGAGTGGAGCTCGACTGTGGATGTGGATGTGGCTGTGGCTGTGGCTAATCGCGTGCTGCAGTCCGCTGGCAAATGCGAAAAATTAAATCAAAACTCACTTATTTCACATGTTGGTCCCGTCCAGCCGGCCACACAGCCACAAGTGAACTCCGCGGCCAGAGGCGGCAGTTGCTGCTGTTGCTGCTGCTGGGAGCCGTTGCCGCTGGCATTCTGCGACTCCTGAAACAGGCCCGCCAGGCTGCGTATTGAATTGCGACGGCTTATCGGTTTGCCCATGGAGGAGCTCATGCCACGCATGACGCGATATGTTGGCGGCCTGGTTGCATTCGTTAGCTGCGGAGTAGTAGAGCCAATGTGGCGGTAGTTGTAGTAGATGAAGTACAAGAGCATGGCGAAAGCCGGCGGCATATTAAATTATTTTATGGCACTGCGCGAAAATATATATGTATATGTATGTCTATAAATTGAGGGCTTACCTTGAGCGTGCAAGTCCCGCCATTGCGACAGGGCTGTGTGGCGCATGGATGCTCCACAATCTCGCACTGCTCACCCGACAGTCCCTCGGCGCATGTGCACCGATATTGATCCGGTGCGGTGTTCTCGCAGGTGCCGCCATGCTTGCAGGGTTCATGGGTGCCACAGTAATTTAAATCTGTGCGAAGAAAACCAAGCGATACTTTAAAATATGCAACAGCATCGAGCAGGCATCGATACTATCAATGTCATTGGCCATGCCATGCACCAGGTGTTGGCTGCTTTGGTAATTGCCAAAGCTCAGCTGAGCTCAGCTGGATTCGCTTACCTTGATCGCATAATATGCCACCCCAATTCGTATCGCATACGCATTTCCAGGCGCTGCCATTGCAGGAACCATGCTTACAGCCCGGATAGACCATGCACTCGTTGCACAAAGGGCCACGCCAGCCGGGTCTACATCTGGTTAAAATTATGGGAAAGACAAGCTTGTTATTAATTTTCGAGCTACAACGAATGCTATTAAAAGGGGAGAGCTGATCTACTATATCTAAATTTTCAATTTAGCATGCAATGCAATTTGTGTGGAATATGGGAATAAATTTCAAACCATAAAAATTGTGGTATTATGATGTGTAACAAGTGTAACCTACAGAGTCTATTGTGCATCTCACTGGCAAATGTATTGCTGCTGTTCTCGCTAGTATTGCTGCTTTAATCTACAGCTGAGTAGGTCTAAGCCTTCTTATGGTTGGAAAGTGTTTTGAAGTCGTCGCTGTGAAACTCAATCATTTATACATTGCCAAAGCCTTAGCGATGTGTCAATTTGCATGGGAACGCATGTCAAGTCTTCTAATCACTGAATTGGGTCACTTTGAACTTTAGCCTTGGCTGGAAGAGCATTGAATGCTACGAAAGGTCTTTTCCACTAACCGAATGGATTTGTGTTGCCGTTGATGCTGCGATTTTATCGCCACAACACGCCAAAGTGCAGGGATCAAAGTTAAATTGCCTGGCCATCGAGTTATCGCCGACAACCGACAACCGACAACCGCCGGCCGCCAATTGAGGTGCTAACTCTACAAGCGGGCATGACGTGGCCGGAGATAGCCGGGTGCTTTGGATACGTTTGAGCTGAATCTTGGGTCCGAGCCGAATGCTGTTCGATGTCTATAATTTATGATTTCATTAAAACAGCAGCCTGTTGTTATCTGTAAACGAATCTATTGCAGTGCGGCGAGCGCAAATGGGCCAGCAACGTGCAAACAGCAAAGTAATTTTTCTTCTGGCTTATAATTGTTGCTGCTTGTTGCTGGCTGTTCGCGAGGCTGTGCGAAAAATCTGCGGAGCGAGCGTCGGAAATCTGCAGCAAGTTGTTGCAACATTTGACTGGTTTTTGATGGTTTCTAGGCCACGCTAATTATTGCTATTTAGAATCAGCGCGCCAGGACCCAATGCCAAGGCGGTCTTGGACGAGTGGCTTATGGCATAGGAGAGAGGAGTGGAGGGTAGGCATCGGTTAGGGCAGGGTAAGGGGGCAGCCGCTGCTGACTGACGAGCGACTGTGGCACTGTTGGCTGAGAAATGCAATCATGGCCGCTGGCTCACGTATTCTGTGTTACGCTCAAACATTAACAACGGCAACAACAGCCACAACAACAACAACAACAACAATTCCACAAAACCACAAACGTTTTTTCGTGCTGCTGCCGCCTGCGGATGCAACTGCTCGCCAGCCGCGCTCTGCTCCTACCTGGCTGGCAACCGTTCATGTTGTGTTCTGGCAGCCGGCATGACCATTCACTTGGCGACGGTCGCGGGCACGGGCACGGGCGCGCAAAGCCAAAGGTAGAGCAATGCAGTACTGTGCAGCATCGGCCATCGTGCGGGTGTTTGATTAGCAGCCAAAAGCTTTGAGGCCGGATCCGACTGTGGCAGTGCTTGAAAAGCCGCAGCATCGCTTTGAGAATAGCAGTGTGGAAAGTGCAACGTCGATGACTCTTGATTGCAGATTATAGCTGCTTACAACTTCATAGCGATAGCTAGCTAGATTTTCCTATGGATCGTTGCTAAGGATAAAAACCTTATGGGGTATTTTAAAATTATTTTTTCGGCATTTCGGTTAACAATAATGCGAATTCTACACTGAGAGGCGACTCCCACTTGACTATATTGAACTTGTGCTTGTTATGTACCATCAATTAATTTCTGAGCCATCGAGGAGAATGGATATCCATAGTTGGGCTAATATAGTTATCGATGAGGGATCAGGGTGTCTAGTCAAAGCGTTATTTTAAAGGAATGCCATAGTACTCATGAATATTGAGAGGTCAGTTGTTAGTTTCTCGACAGGGTAGATAAGCTTTAAGCCCATTTAGATATATTTTAAATATTATCCTATTACAATTGCAGACCAATACTGTACTATCGATTATAGCTAGTTCAAGCTTTGCTTGGGTATTTTTCTCATGTCTGTCAGCTGGAGTCGCTTTACGCGCATTGCAAAAATAGATGCATAAGAAACTTTCCCAACTCTGAATATGTGGTACATCAGCTTGACAACTATTTACACATCCGCTGGGACTATTATTGTGGCCTGTGCGGCAGAAGAAAAAAAACACCCAAAGAACCCCCATTTCACTGCGGTTAATCGTGCTATAAAAAGAAAAGCAGCCATTATAACTGTGTCTGTCTGTCTGAATGTGTCTATGTCTGGCCAACATCAACATGGCGAGCAATCTGCCCCAAGGGGGCCAGGCCATTAAGGCGCCCCAAAGTTGTTCGACACACGCAGACGCAAAAAGTGTCATAATCACATCGTTAACGGCAAGGGGGAGTGTGGGCAGGAGAGATGAGGGTAGGGTTGAGAGATAATTACAATGTTGAGTACTTACTCGCATTCACCGGGTCGATCACATTTGCCATGTATGGGATCACAGCCGGGCTTGCAAATGGCCTCCTCACAGTTGACGCCCTGCCAGCCATTGAGACAGAGCTTCTGACCCTCCGAACCGCAGGCATAGTGACCGAACTGATCGTCGCGCGGACGACAGAAGGTCGTGCAGGTCGTGTTGTAGTAGGTAACGGCGCATTGCACCCGGACGCGGTAGGTGATGCGCGCGTTGCGGCCAATGTGGTCCAGTGTCTTCCACTCCGGCGACGGCAGTATCACGCCCGAGTATGATGTTTCTTCAATTAACCTTTCCGCATCTGCATTTTGGCATTGTGTTGTATTTGCATGGCAATGACAATTGTTGGACAGCGGCAGCAACAGCAACAACGACGTCGACGACGACAGCAGCAGCAGCAGCAGCGGTGACGACGATGGTGGCATCAACGTTGGCGTTCCACAAAAGTTGTCCAGGATTTGTGTAGATTGGTGGGTTAGGTAAGGGTTAGCAGCAGGAAGGCAAAGATTTAGACATGGCTGACAACATTTTGCGCGCAATTGGCTGGCAACAGTTGCTGTTGCTGCTGTTGTTGTTGTTGCTGTTGGCTCTTATTGTTATGGTCTGCGTTTGCGCTCCTGATGCTGTGCTAATTAAGCCAAATGGTGTGCACAACACAAACGACCAACAACAGCCGCAACAACAACCGCATCAGCAGCAGCAAGAGGCACGTACAACATGCGGCAATTGCAATTGCCACCGCACTTACCTGGATAGGATGTGTTGTACATGTCCAACGCCTGGAGTATCAGCGTAAACGACTTCTGTAATTGAACAATGCAGGGAGAAGAAAACGAAAACGAATAAGTTAGAAATTGCAGCATTAATTCGATGCGGGGCATGGGCAGCGACACAAGGTGGGTTTGGCATTCGTCTCGGCTCAGTGTTGACGCTAATGGACAGTTTAATCTCCAGTTGGCGCACTGATGCAAATGAAGACAACGACAGGCAAACAACAGGCGAACAAACAAACGAGCAGACCAAAAACCAAATGCACAAGCAAACACTTTAATTTCACGCAAAACAAAAAAACAAAGCAACAAAAACTTTCTAAACACAGTCGGGGTGTGCATGTTGTGGCATTAGAGCTGTCTGCGTGCCGTCTTTTCTTTCGTGACACGACCAACACGTCACGTTTGAGTTAAGGATCATAAAATAAGAATCAGTAAAAAAATTGCATAAATAAGCATTAGCATTGATAATAATTAGACCTAATTGAAATATAATTGCTGTTAATAATAAAATAAGTATATATAATCAATCCACTTCTCATAATTATATAAAATATCAAAATGATCAACTGACTTGTTTTGAATATAAATAATAATAGAATAAAAAAATCAAAATTTTAAATAAAATAAATCTAACGCTTTTATTAAATAAACTATAAAAGAAAAAATAAATATGTAAGTTGTGAATTAAAGTAAAGATATCTTAGTAAATTAAGTTTTTTAAAATTAAAGAATAAAAATTATTCTGAAAGCAGTTAAATTAAATAAAATAATTAATAATACACATATTCATATCCGATAAATATATATATTTAATAAATTGGACATAATTAAATGTTAGGACTTAATATCAAAACATTTTTTTACGCGCATCTGACACGCGTTCATCTCCAATCCACAGACTGGAAGACATTCAGTGCAATTGGCCGACCAAAACAAATTTTTTGCTTTTTTCTGCATGCGCGCATAAAAATTGAAGACTCGCTGTTTGTGTTGTTGTAATTGCCAACTGGGCAACTGAGGAGCTGGGCAACTGAGCTGTGCCAGAAGATTTCTCGTGGCACAAAAAGCAATTAAACGTCCACTACTACGCCGACGACGTCGACGTTGTCGTCTGCGCCGCTGGATGCCAGGAAATGCTCATTTAGCAATCGAAGAAGGCGGCAGAGGAGGCCACGAAGGCGACGACTTGGTTGCCTTGTGCCCATGTAATTGGCCTGGCGGCGCGACACTAAATCAGTCCAAAGCAGACATTGGCTAATTACAAAACAGTCCAACTGTTGTCGCTGTGGCAACTTGACACAGTTTGTCAAAAACAAAAACAAAAAAACCAAAAAGCATCCAGCAATTGTAATGCTCCTCAAATTTCCATTCAATTTCCCGCTGTCATAATTTCATATCTCACAGCGGTTCGCTCTTCCGGGCGGGCGCATGCTAAAAAATCTTGACTTGTCGACGCGCATGGCCAGCGGAAGTTTTTCAATTGAAAATGGCGTTGAATTGGTTTCGGATTTCAATACTCCGACAAACAGACACGCGCCAACTGTCACTGATCACAAAGTCTGCTGCGGGGGAAGCACGAACCTCTAAATGATATTATACACACAAATTAGATAAGCAGAGCGCCAAAGATGTAATACCCTTGTAATACCCCTAGATGGTTTGCGATAGATTAATAAACTTTTCAGAAAAGTTCAACATTCTTTTTGCATAATATTCTATTGTTATGCCACTTTTATAAGTTATAAGGCATAGAGATATTAATCGCGCTGTTACTAACAGTTGGGTGACATTTGCTCTTCTTAACATATGTTAAAAGCACAATTTAACTATAGCTGTAAACTAACATTTTTCTGTTAAAAAGCCACAAGTGTGGAGAAACTTAAGTTGCAAAAAAATATTTTTGATCTATATATAAATAAACATTTTCACTTGAGGTCTGATCAATTCTGAACAAAATCAAGTAGCAATCAAGACAGCATCATTGAGCTTTCAATTGGCCACTGAAATGTTTACAAACTGTCAAGAAGCTGACCATACTTGGCAGCCATTCGGCACATTTACAACAACGACAAGACCAACACAACAGCTGAGCTCGACAAATAACCTACCCACTTTCATTCGTGGTTTTATCAATGGCATTGGACCATTTACGTATGTTTCTTTATAAACGAAAGCTTCTTTTTTTTTTTGTGTAAGGGGACAACTCCAAATATAGAGCTTCATGTGGGGGCAGTCCGGCTGAAAATGGAGCCTAGGCAACTATGGGAATGCCATTCATCTGGCCCATACACTCGAATTTTCATGTATGCACAAAAGTGGAGCAAGACCAGCGGATTCCACTCGAGAATTTTGATGATTGCGCACGTGCACTCCAACAAACAGTTGAAAATATTGTCAAGTGAAATTCATAGAGTCTTTATATTATTTTTTTCATGCTTTCAAAGAGTTCGATGGGCCTGTTTGAGTTTGTATTTGACAGTTACATTGAAGTTTGGTTAGCTGGCGGGGCTGTGGGGGTACTACTGATGATGTTGTAGCTGCTGCTGCTTCAACTTGTTCCAAGTGTTTGAAGTATTTCATAAGTCATGTTTATAAGTTTTAGCGTGCCATTCACTCAATCAACTGTTTCGAAGTTCCACTCCCCCCATCCCTCCTCACATGAAAATGAAAAAAATATAAAAACAGTCATTCAATAAAAAGTGGGACAATTGCGACGCATCCAACAGAGAGCAACAACAAAAGTAACAACTCGCTTATATCGGCAGCTTGATTTTTATTTTATTTTTTTGAAGATTTCGTGATTTTGTGAAAGGCTTCTTGAGATTTGTCTGTGCGCCTGAGCAAATATTGCCGTTGTATGCAGAATTTGCCAAAGCCGACGCCAGGGCAAACATTTGCCAGGTTTCGTTTGTGGCAGCAAAGAGTCGCGCATAAGGCACACACATAAGTACATCACATACACACACATGCAGACATATGTGAGCACTGCAGGCAGGCAGCCAGGCCAAGATTAAAGCGAAACCATAGCGAAGCGTAACGTATCGCCATCGGCCAAGCGACAAGCGCGACAAGGTAATGTTCCCACGAAACAGGTTGTCCGCACTTCAGGCCACGACCACGACACTGCGCCGGCACAGACTTAGATTCAGACTCGAACTCAGACTCGAACTCCAGAACAACAGAACAGCAGACCCCAGCCCCAGCCCCAGCCCCAGCCCCAAAGCCGGCTCTGACGCATGCGCGCCGGCTGCTCCCTAGTCGAGAGTCGCTTAATGTAAACGACGGCGCATGCGCATGCCGACGTCGCTGTCGCTGTCGTTGTCGCAGTCGCAGTCGACGACGCCGTCAACGTTTGGCTTATGGCCATCAGCAGAATTAGTTGGCAGTGTCGACGAAGGCGTGTAATTGTTAACCAAGTTAGTTTTGTGTTTGTACATTACCAAAACATTGCCGTTTTTTAAATAAGGCGGAAAAAAAGAAAGAAAAAAAACGTAGCTAACATTAAAGCATGTAACAACGTTGCAGTCGGGTGCAACCAACTGTGCAATACTCTTTTCGCAGTGTAATTTCCGATTAAATCCGACGATTTGTGTAATTGATGGGAACGTGCCTAACATTTGTATCAATATTTAGAGGAGCTCAATCTAATTGCTCTAACTCTTAATTTCGAATAGCTATAGATTCCTGCGCCTAATGGGCGTGGTCAAAGAACTTTAACACTTTGTCAGACGCGGATATTCACGCGCATTTATGCCTTGTTAGCTTCATTAGCAAGCAGCTGAAACCAATATAGGCTTCTCACATTGTGAACAGAGTATAAAATGAAGTTAAATTCAACTGGCAGTTACGCCCCAACCACCAGGTTACATTCAAAGGCAGCTGCCTCTGTGGACTTGGCTTATGTTTTATAGCGCGACGGAACCAGAACAGTCGAAATATGCCACGTTTTAGCAGTCATAAGCCCGCATTATGCGCACTTAATTAATGCCAGGCCCAGAATCAGAGACGAGGGTGAAGGCGCTGCGCACTGAAAGAGGCTTAAAAAATACACCGAAAAAAAATTTAAGAAAAAAATACTAATAAAACATAAGTTTTAATTGCCTTTGATATGCGGCTACCGCAACGAGTAAGCGGCTTTTTCATGCCACGGCCTGTGATTTATTTGCCACATACCTAAGTATCGGGTATATAGTATATATATTTTTTAAAGCCATAAGTCAAAACATGACTCAAACTTTTATTTCTATTTTTCATTATAACCCTACTTCTAGCCAAGTAAACAACAACCCACGCAAGAGGCTCTTTATTAAATCTCTCTTTTTATTTACTTGGGTTTTTTCGGGGTTTCTTAGTATACCGGAAACTGCGATACACTCTCCGTAGATCGTAAGAGCAATAGACTACCAAGTACTTGCCAGTGCTTATCACTGTTGCAGTTGCTGCCGCCGGTTGCCAGCTCTCGAGTTTATCGCTAGAAATTCCGCGATGACGAGCAGCGTCTGTGTGCTCCATGCGGAACAGCCACAGTTCTCCAACAGCGCTATCAATGCGCCAGCTCGTGCCAAAAGTGTGCGTTTTTGTATACAGAGGCATGGGTATGGGTATAGGGGATTACGGGCTTTGGTTCCGTTTCGATGCTCACAAAAACAACAACCAGAAGAAAAAGAAGAAGAAGACGAACAACTTACCGTCCAGCGAAATGTGAAGGGCAAGACAATGGCACCCACGCCCGGATCACTGAGCACAAAGCTCGAGCCGCCAAGTATCTTCGTGGTGGAGTTGCCAAATGAGCAGCCCGTCGATATGCTGACGCCTTGTTCCGTTGTCTGATACTCCTTTAAGCACAGTCTAAATGCTGTTGTGCAGGGTGAACAGCCTGAAAAAGTATAATATATTTAATAGATTAACAGAAAGACTGCATAGCACAAAAACTAGATACTTTCACTTAAACGAATCAATTATTATTATTTACATAGTTTTTTCGATCCCTATTCTCTTAGATCTTCTACATACATAGTCTTAAGATTACATAGTCTTAAGATTTTAATCTAAATAGTAAAAACTTTTATAGAATCCATTTACGAAAAACTTTAACTCGAATTAAGACACATAACCTTTCGTAGATTCGCGTCTATATATATCAATTTTGACAAGACCAAGATTCGGTAAAGATCAAGTTTTTAAAAAATTTGAAAAATGCTTTTAACGCGATTATAAAAGGCTCCGCTTTGGTATTCGACTTAAGTCATGTTTTTGCGTAAATATCAAGGTCACATTTCCAAAATTATTCTAAATATTATTTAAAACTTTCTACATGCAAATAAAAAACTCAATCTTTCAGAAAAATACTCGCTCATATATGACCTTGAGCACAATCAGAATAATACTAAGCGATAAGAGAATTATAATGTGAAAAAAATTAATGTGTGCCAGATTAAAATGTGTGTCAGTTATGCAACGGCTTTATATACTTTATATATGTATAGAGTAGATGATAAATATATATTTTTTAAATGGGCTTTACTTACCCGTCGTCTTGGTGGCGCGTAATTCTGTGGGTACACCGCAGCAGTAGCCGCTTAGTAGATGGCTATTCGTATTTGAGATTTCTAATATTTCCAGCTCGAAGTTACCAGCTGCGGATATCTGTAAAAATCGAAAGGCACATCATCAGCAATAAGCCGCAGCCAAAACATAGAAAGAAAAAAACAAATCAAAAAAAAAAAAAACACACACAAAAAAAAACATGTAAACACAAATTTCGAATCGTTCAAATCAATCACGGCCCATAACGAAGCCATAAGCTAAATAAGCGTACAAGACACAAATTCCCCCCATTTCCCGAGAGACCCTTACCCCTGCCCCCTTGCCCCTTACCAATATCAAATAATATGCTCAACACCGCCGTCTTTCGCAGCGCTCGTTCGCTTGTTGTAAAAACTAATAAGCCACCTAGGGCGCTCTGATTGGGCTACGGTAGAGGTTTTAATTAAAAACACGAGAAAGAAATTCAAAATGGATGAAAATATATAAATATATATATGCATTTTTTTCTTGTAGGCAAATGAAAGGAGCGCCAGACGCAGATTGGAAACGGGCATGGAGGAGACTGTGTAGTCTTGATAAATCTGCCGGCAAATGAAACATGAAAATAATGAGAAATATTTTCAAACACAAAGGCGCTTTAACTGTACACAAAATTGTTTGCCTATTTTCTGTGGTTGTGGCACACTTAATCAAACGAGATATCCAGCCGCTTGTATAATTTAGAATGTCTTTTGTGTTGGCCATAACAGCTGGAGTTGGCCAACTGGTAGCGAGTCACCATTGCAAATCAAGAGCCTATCGATAAGCGCATTTGCCATAAAATTAATAACACATTAGATCGCCATCCATTGAGAGATTGCTCATAAAGTTTAACTATTTCTGCATAATGGTTACTCATATTTTATACCCCCCACACTCCCCTCTCTTACTCTCTTTCACCTCGACAATCCTCGCTCATGGCCAGTGCCATCAACTTTGTAGTTTAGGGTTCATTACAAGTCCGACTTTCAGGCAGTCGCCTGGGCCGCGGCTCAGAAAATATGCTAATGAAAACTTTTAGCTGGCAACTTTTATGGTTTCATATTTCACAAAATTTATTGTCAAAGGCGGCGGCATTTGTTGGCTTTTTGGTTGCTGGTAGCTGGCAGCGTTGATAAGTTTATTAGAAATAAATTGCAATTTAGCCAAAGGCCTGTCACAGGCTCTGCTCAGGTCCAGGCTAACGGCAGTTGCCCGCTTGGCCAGACGCACTTCTTGGCCTGCACCTGTGCGGCACAAAAACCAGCACAAAAAAATCTAAAAGTTGCAGTTGAATTGGCTGTAGTTGTTGTTGTTGTCGTTCGTGTGGCTGTTGATATTCCAGTTGAAGTTGTCGAGCAGCCGCGCGCATTGTTGATCAACCCATAGATCAATCAATGCAGTCAATGCTTGCCACTTGCCACAGTCTTGGCCGTTGATGCTGTTCTGAGTTCTTAGTTCTCAGTTCGGAGTTCTGGCTTTTGTTTGCCGCATTGTGCTGAGCATTTGGTCAGTGCCCCAGCGGCAAGTTGATTGGATTCTTGATCGGATCTGTTGAACCGGTTTGTCTGCATATATTCTGTGCCTGCTTACTTATTTATTTATCACATTTTTTTTGCGCCTGTATTTTCATTCATGAGATCTGCCGCTGTCGCTGCCACAGTGCGGCAAGTGCAGCTGCCGCAGCTGCAGCCACCGATTCTCACATACTCGCAATCAAGCGCTAATATTCGAGACAAACTTTGACGTTATCAATTCGATTAGATAATATCCATGAAATGCCCCAAGCGATTAGTAATGCGGCGCCCAAAAAATCCCAAAAAGTGAATTGGTTTACAAAATATATATTAATATAAAGACAAGTAAAAGTGCTCAAGTCGAGAGTGGCCGACTGCTGGATGCCCTGACTCCAGCGCCCAGCTGCAGTAGCTTACAAATATTCTAGCATCTAAATACATCCCAATTAAACATGCTCCATACGACGACAAATGTAATTTTGAATAGCTTCGGTGCTTATAGGCCGATCCCTTTGAAAGTATCAGCGTCCAAAACTGACACTCAACTGTTTGATATAACAAGTGCAAAGCTTAAGCTTTGAATGGCTAAATTGGAAGGAGATATCCATAAAATTCCCAATTTGATGTGTCAAGCTTCTTCAACTATCGAGTAATGCTAAACAGTCCATGTTACAAAATCGGAGTCCCTAGCTTCGGTTGTTTCTGAAATCGACTGAAATCGATCGAAATTGTATATACTTTCTTACATGCATTCGCATAAAACATTACACACATTGGCCCTAGCTAGTTTAATTCCCCTCATCATAACTATGGATTGAGATTTCATAAATAAATTATAGCAAATTTCAATGGGCTCAGCGCAAAACAAATTAAATATTTGCTTACATCTTGAGCCTTGTGCTAAATATAAAAAAGAAGCCCAAATGCAGCTGTTAATGAAGTTAAATGCAAATTTATGTTAAATTACAATTTATGATCACGTAATAATATTTTCATCAGCTGGCGCCGGCAACAATAAGTTTTGCCCTAATGAGGCAGCAACTGCAACGCGCAACGTTTTGTTGGTGCTTAAAGCGTTGCGATAAACACCAACAACAACAAGAACAGCAACAGCAACAACAACAACAACAACAACAACTTGTACAAACAAAACGATCGTGGGAGCTGAATGCGCGTTTCGCCAACTCATTTTGTGGGACTTTCGAAAGGCAAAAAGAAAAAAATCTTTTTGAATATCTTCAACAGTTGCCGCCGCTGCCAGTTTAATACGCAGCTTATGATCAATAAATGTCAGGCCTTATGAGGGTAGCTTTAGCAAGTTTTTTCTTTTTTCAAGCTCAGACTCCTGGCCAAGCTGCAAACTGGGTTAATACGCCCCGTGACCAGTGACACTCACTGAGCAGTAATCACTGCAGGCAGCAGTAAGCAGTCAGCTGTCACTTGTTGTTGTTGTTCTTGTTTCCTGGAAGCGAACATTAATCGCTGCCACAAAATGTTGAACTTTTTATTTGCTTAATTAACAACTAAATAGTTGCAGCAACCCCCAAAAAAAAAACGTTGAGGTAACCAATACCAAGTGGAATGCCCATTTAAAGAGCCATTTCTCATTTGACGGCAACTTTTATCGCCAGCCTTAACCGAAATCAATGCACTCAAGAGCTGCTGCTGCTGTTGCTGTTGCTGCTGTTTCTGTTGCTGTTGCCGCGGGGACTCAGATAAATGTGTATAATCAATTTGATAGCCCTGTGTTGTGGATTAGGCCTGGGCATTCTAATGCCTGGTCTGTTGCTCGCGTATTAATCAAATTGTTGTTTGTGTTTTTTTCTTGAACGCTGGCAACGCGATTAATTTTTATGTATCTTGGACCGTTGCTGTTTAATTGCCTCGCAGGCATCTCCGCTGGCATCTCAATACATGTTTAGGCACTTTGTATAACACTTTATGATGTCTACGCCCCTAAAAATCAAAAATGTGGCCAACGACTACCGTTGCTGCTGCTGTGGGAACTGGCCGAGCCAGCGGCAAGGTTAAAAACCCATTTGGCAGCCACTTGTAACTTGAAGTTAAATTGTTCCGAGTATCATCAATACCCTAATGGTAAGGATTGTGTAATGTAAAACCAGGTTTACATACATTCAGATCCGATTAACATCTACAGTAGATCAACTTAGATCAATTGGGCAAGAGAATCAATTTATTTTGTTCTTCAGCCACAACTTTTCATTTCAATCTCTGTTAAGCTTGATGACTTTAAATAAGCAATAAAAGCAATAATATTAATTTTAGAAAACCTAATGGGACTGTTTCATATGGTGTTAATTAACGCAGCTTTCATTTAGTAGCTTTATTGAGCCATATGCAATATAATATCCAATTTATGTCCAATTTGTCACTATTGGAAGTTGCAAATAATTATTTGACCTAAAAAAAGGTGACAGTAATTTTAAAAAGAGCAGCTAAATTAGTTTTGCTACCTGTAAATCGTAACTGGATAATGCATATAAAAGTATTCGCATTCTTTGGCTGGTTGAACATATTATCTGGACTTAAATATAAATTCTATTATTTTATATTTTACATTTTTTAATTAAATAAAAATCCTCTTTAAAAATATATTTTTGTCAAATATATTTAATATTATGTTTTCTCATTAAATAACAAGAAGCAACTTTTGAAACTTTTAAAATAATTTTTTTTAAACCGGTGCAAATATTTTTGATTACGAAATAAAATGAAGTTTAAAAATATTTAATAGTTAGTTGCAAGACAAAACCATTTTGGTGTTCAATATAAGTTGAAATTGATTGAAATCTATATATACATCGTTTTGGAGGTTATAAAAATCTGTTCTCTTTGTCGGACCACAAAATATGTCAAACCAATTTATATTGACTTTAATATGTTTAATTCGAATGGATCTAAAGTATGATGATGGAGAAGCTGATAGCCTATTTGCTTATTAAGTATATATTTTAAACTGAATATTTTTAGTATTTGCCGCGCTTCGTAAATGATTTGTCTAATTAAGCCAGTAATTTTAGCAAGTCCCGGCTCGAAACCCCGACTAGTTTACAAGTAGCTCTAGCCTACTTGTACTATATGTCACACTTAAAATAATAATGGTAAGCGCAGCAATCAATTGTTGCCCTTAATTATAGTCCATAATAAAAACATATATGCATTAATAAAAATAGATTGTCGCTTTGTCATGTCTGCAATTCTACAAATTCAGCACCCTCATCGATCAGTTCCCACATACACACACACCCTCACACACACAAACACACACACACCCATAGACATTTGGTGCCTTCGGCAGCAAAAACAGCCAAAAGTTTAATCAACTCAATTTGGCTAACGAGAAATCAACACGAATTGAGGCAACACCCGCATATTTGGACTAAAGTTATTTTTGTTTTGCTCTTTTTTTTTGCATGTGAACTCATTTTGATGGTTGCTGGTGAATTCTGGGGCTTGTTGTTGGGAGCTTTGCTTACCTTATGGACTAACAATATTAAAATTAAAGCAATTAAGTTGCAGGCAGACTTTAATGATCGACAATCGTCGATCAGCGATCGCAGCGCTGTTGTCTGCCGTGGCCGCTGCCGCTGCCGTTGCCGTTGCCTCGTTGCAGACATTCTCAGGCTGCCAGTTGTTGTTTCTGTTGCTGTTGTTGCTGTTGTTGCTGTTGTTGTCGCTGTATTGCCTTTTGTTGATTTTCGGCGAAAATGTTTTCTAAACATTTTGTACATTCTGTGCGCGTTTTTCAACGTGTTGCCGCCTGCTGTTGCAGACGATGCTGGTGCGCAGTTTAGTTCCTTCTGCTGGTAGTTGTTTTTTTTTTGTTTTTGTTATTGTTGTTGTCGTTGTTGCTTAACCACAACTTTTTGGCACAAGTAACGCACACAAATTGGCCATTAATTAGCCGATGCCCAGATAACTCTTCTTTTTTAAAAATATATTTTCGTACTTTAAACGTTGTTGTTGTTATTGTTGTCGATTTGTCAGGGCATTTTGTTTTGTTGTTAATGTTGTTATCACGAACTTTTGCTTATTAATTCCCTTGTTGTTGTTGTTGTTGGGGTTTGCATATAGATTTTTTTTATTTATTTCTCATTCGTTTTCTATACACTTTACACTTCCACTTGATATGCCGTTGTTATTGTTGTTGCTGCTGTTGCTATTGATATTATTATTGTTGTTGTTGCTGTTGTTGTTAAAGCAATTGTCAAACCAAATGGAATTGAAACACACTGACAAGTGCCTGTAAAATCCATTTCTCATTGCTTTTAAGCACGCATCATCAACGCTAATTGACACGCATTTGTTGTTGCTGTTGCTGCTGCTGTTGCAGTTACTGCTGCTGTTGCTGCAACAAGTGCTGGCAGCCAAGCGCAGCAACATTTGCTTTTGGCTGCGCAACCGCAACAACCGCAAAACGGCTCAACGTGCAGCAAATGCAAATGCAATTCAATTTATGTTAATTTAACGCTGCTTCTGCTGCTGCTCTGCTGTTGCAGTTGCAAGTTGCTGCTGGTGCTGCCGTGTCTTTGGCCACAAGCAATTTGCATCTTGTGCGCATATTAATTTACAGATATTTTCACTGTTGCCCACATTACTCATGCTGCCCCTGCTGTTGCCCCCGCCCGTGTTTGTTCTGCCTCTTGGCTTGGCCTGTGCCATTTTCCCCTGTTCCTGCGGCTAGCACACGATGTTGTTGATCGGGTGTTAATTGTCCATTTAATTAAGTAATTTGCTACGCTTCCTCTGGTCGCTCCTTGCCCTCCTCACCCTGCGCGAGCGGAAGTCGTTGACTTTGAGTCAAATTTGTGCATAGGCTGTGGCTGTGGGAGAGCGTGTAGCAACAGGCAGGCAGGCACGACCGGAAGTGGACCAAAGGGTGCACTTGACAATTGGCGCAATTGAAGTTGCAATGAGAGGGAAATGAAATATGACAACCGAAACATTGAGTATACAAATTTATGGGGCACCTTGCAAAATTAAAGCTAATGAAAGATTTTACGGGATAGAAAACTATTTGATCTGGTTTATGTACAGAATACCAGAGGAAAGTAGTAATTTAATTTAAGTAAGTAACAACAACTCTTATACTATATTTTAGAAGATTTTCACAGCATATGTCGCATTCTGTTTTTATCAGCTAATTATATAAGCAGCGCCTGGCCTAGTACTTAGTTCTTCAAGCTATGAAAGCTCTCGCGGCACTCGCTCTGCCCCGGCATCTTCCTCTCCCGCCCACTCGTTTTCTTATTGTCAACTCATATGTAAGCATTGCCCTCGTTATGTTCTAGTATCTCTCTCGCTCTCCCTAGCGCTGTCTCTATTATCACTAGCATATTGAATTGTTGTTGTTATCATGCAATATGCGCTATTTACACATCCTATATGTATATGTATATGTGTATGTATATGTGTGCATATGCATATGTATTTATTTATTGTGCTGCTATTTTCTTTCTTTCACTCGGCGTGTTTCAATTCCATTTCGTTTGTGATGCGTGTGTGTGGGTGAGTCTGCGTTATCAATGAAACCGCTGCGTTGTGGCTATTGTGGACTCTAGCGGGGGCAAGAGACACATTCGCATTCGCATTCGCATTGTTTGCACTTTTACTTTAGCGCTTTTATTAACAAATTTATTGTGAGTATGTGTGTGTATATTGTACCAGTAATTGAGCGCTATTTCCGTTATTATTATTTTTTTTTATATTTCTTTTTCGCACAGAGAATCTCACGCTTAGTCCGAGATTTTCGAAGCTTTGATTTATGTTAAGTTAAATCGACAGTTGAAAAAAATAATAAATTCATATGAATTTCACATGCACACATAGACACATATAAATTAAGCGGCTGTCGATTGTGCTGTTTTTTTATTGTTGTTGTTGTTGTTGTTGCTGCTGTTGCTGTTGCTATGCTGTATTTCGTGCTATTGTTATTATGATGATTACTTGTTGGCTTTCTGCTTTGCCGTCGTTTGTTGTAATCAGCAAGCAATTCAATTTAATTGTAACACATTTAACACTTTCACATCATTTTCATTAATTATTGTTGTTATTTGTGCGCGCTCACACACATGCACACACACGCACACATAATCCAATTGGCATTTAATGTTTACCGCTTGCAGCGCTGCAAAACTGCTCTTAACTGCTCGAAGCACGGCGCTCGACTAAACCCGTCACATTATAGGGAGTCCTGCGGCGTTTGGTTAGCCTGCAGCAGTAGCCAAAGCAGCAGCCACCACACGGGGCGGAGCAACTCACGCGAGAGTGCTAAGCAAGCCAGAGAGTAAACAGCGGCAGCAGCAGCTGCACCACTAAAATTTACGAACCGGCGTACGCCAAAGCTGGCAACTGTTCGAATTCGAGTTCGAGCTCGAATTCGATATCGAGATCTTGTCTTGTGCTGCGACGTGGACTTCCGCTCGCTGCTTGCGTGCGCTTCAGGCGTCAAGTTGCGACTGATTGGGAACTACTGCTGACGGCGTCTGGCATTGCCGCTGGGCACGTTCACTCCGAGCTTTGTCAGCGGCTCGGGCGGCTCTCTTAGCATGTCAACCGGTTTCTCTCTTTGCGGCGTGCTCTTCAGCCCGGCGCTGATTGGTCGCCCGATCGTTGCTAGCGGTCTGCGCTATGACTTGTTAAATGGAGTTGCGCCGTTCCGAAGTGGAAGTCGTTGGCGTTCGGCTGCGTCGGCTGCGTCGCTTGCCTACTTGCTGCTGCCTACACGCATGCGTGTGTCTGGAGGCGCTTTTTTTATGATTTCAACTTAATTATGTTTATAAACGCTTTGCGGCCACTGTGCCGCGGCTGCTCTAGATCTAGTTAAAATGCCACACGGCAGCGTCTGCAATTGGCCCAGGCGTTTCATTAGCGTTTTATGGCCAGATCGTGGCCGGCGCACGCCTCGGGGACACGTTTTAGTTGCATTGCTGCAGGCGTACAATTAACACCTGGAAAATATGATCTGGCAGCCCACTACGAATATGATACGAGTGCTGCCCATTTTTGGGGCAGCCAATTATTAGCTGGCAGCAGCAGCAGCAGTAATGTGCCGCTTACCGTTGCCGCTGTAGCAGCCACACAGACAGCGCGGCGACTCTGCCCAATTATATGCAACTTGAGTGTGTATAAATCAAATTTAAATGCAACTCTGGGCTATCGATGTGCGGCTTACTGTCGTTGTCCAAAACAAAAGACTTAAGCAACAAACTTGGCAATTACATGCAGCCAGCAAACAGAAAACAGCAACAGCAGACAACAGACAACAGACAACAGACAAGCGACAACAACGCGGCAGCATCTTTTGTTGTTATTGTTATTGTTTATTCTGTTGCTGTTGCTGTTGCCGTGTTGTTAGCGGCTCATATTTCTTAGCGCGCATATCTAAATATCGAATCATGTCGCTGATTTGCTCTGCCGCACCATTGTTGCTTCAGGCTCCAACGAGGCACTGCAACAACAGCAACAACAACAACACACACTAAATCTCATTGTGCCGTTGTGACATGACTCTTGTTCGACAATAGATAAAACAAATTGACTTGGTGTGTGCCCAAAATGTCTTCTCTAGCCATTGGCCTAGCTAGTTGCTCT